ACTCAGACATTTGATACTTACTAGCTATGTGACCCTAGGCAAATCACTTAACCCCATTGCCTAACAAAAAAACAAACCCCGCCAAAAAAAGTTATATTTTTGTATATCCTTAGAATTTTTTATGTCCTTAGTACTGATCCCTCCCTAGTCCCCCCTTCTTCCTTCTCCCCTTTTCCCTGCTTAGTAAAATGCATTTCTGTACCAACTTTGTATGTATATTCTTCCTTCTTTTGAGCAGTTTAGATGAGAGTGAGGTTCAAGTGTCAACAACTCCCTCCATCCCTCCTTCTTGTTTGTCCAGATGTTTAACTGTATACCCTGATTATATGAGATAATATTCCCTAACCTTCATTTCTTTCTTCTCCTCATTGAGGATTCCTCTGCCCCTCCCTTTCTATTATCTTTAGATCATCAAGACATAACAGAATCACTACCAGGTCTTGTCTAATTAGACACTCCCATGAACTCTGATGATGATAGGATTCAGAGGGCACTCATGTATCATCTCTCCATATTTGAATGTAAATAGTTTATACTTTTTTTAGTCCTTTATTGTTCTTTCACGTTTACCTTTTCGTGTTTCTATTAACTACTATGTTTGAACTTGAAATTTCTACACAGTTCTGATCTTTGCATCAGGAATGTCTAGAATTCCTCTACTTCATTAAAGAGCCCTCTATTCCCCTGTACTATTATACTTTGTTTTGCTGAGTAAGTTATTCTTGACTGCAAGCCTATATCCTTTGCCTTCTATAGCTCCTCCATACTTGAATTCTTTCTGGATGCTTGTGGTATTTTTTTTATCTGAAATCTCAGTATTTTGGCTAAAATATTCCTGGGAGGGAATGGAGAAAAAATTTACAGAAAGTTTCTCTGATAAAGGCCTTGTTTTTGAAATATATAGAGAAATGAGTCAAATTTATAAGAATATGAATCATTCTCCAATAGATAGTCAAAGAATATGAACACATAGTTTTCAGAGGAAATCAAAGCTATCATCATATGAAAAAATGTTATAAATCACTATTGATTGGAGAAATGCAAATTAAAATAACTCTGGGGTACAGACAATATAACAGAAAAGGAAAAATGACAAATATTGAAGAAGATATGGGAAAATTGAGACTGTATTGTCAGTGAAGTTGTGAACTGATTCAACCATTCTGGAGAACAATTTGGATCTGTGCCCAAAGAGCTTTAAAACTTTGCATACCTTTGACCCAGCAATACCACTATTAGGTCTATATCCCAAAGATGTCAAAGAAAAAGGGAAGGTCCTATATATACAAAAATATTTATGGCAGCTCTTTTTTTGTGGTGGCAAAGAACTGGAAATTGAAGGTATGCCCATCATTTGGGAATTGGTGGAACAAGTTATGGCATATGATTGTGACAGAATACTATTGTGCTATAAGAAATGAGGAACGGGATAATTTCAGAAAAACCTTGGAAGATTTATATAAACTGATACAAAGTGAAGTGAGCAGAGCCAAGAGATCATTGTACACAATAACACCAATATTGTATGATGATCAACTGTGAATATTTTAGCTATTCTCAGCAATACAAAGTGCCAAGACAGTTCTGAAGTACTTATGATGAAAAGAGAAAGAACTGATCAAATCTGAATTAAGATCAAAGTATACTTTTTAAACTTTATTTTTCTTGAGTTTTTTTCTTGATTTTTTTATCCATGTTCACTTTTGCAACATGGCTAAAATGAAAATATGTTTTGCATGATTGCACATATGTAACATATCAAATTGCTTGCCTTCTCAGTGAGGGGGCAGGGGAAGGAGGGACAAAATTTGGAACTCAAAATTTTTAAAAATGAATGTTAAAAATTGTTTTTACATGTAATTGGAGAAAATAAAATATATACATTTTAAATGTAACAAAAAATAAATTAAATTAAAAAAAGAAAAAGTTTTCAAAAAAGAAATAATGAAAAACTTAAATATCCGTGAGAACATTCAAGGCTCATGGCTAGGCTGTGCCAATGCAATAAAAATGACAATACTACCAAAGTTAATTAACAATTTTAATGCTATGCCAAATTATCAAAGAGATAATTCATAGAATTCAAAAAGTAATAACAAAATTCATTCAGAGGACCCCACATTTATCTTTTTACTGCTCCTCAGAGGAAGATTATTTCCTCCCATGAGGGAGCAGAGGGTTCAAGGGCCTTCACCATCAAGGAACTGGAAAGGCTATATGAGAAGTTGAAACAGAAACCTGATGAATCACTGGAGCAATGGCCCCTGAGGACATGGCCTAATGGATCCAATACTGAGATTCTCTCCATAGCTGAGTTCCAAAGGTCTGAGGAGCTATCTGAGGATTTATTATTACAGAGTCAGCTAAATCTATTAAAGGCTCCAGACAGGGAGCCCTTTTTAGATGGCTGAGATAGGCAGTTATTCATACTTGATCCCATAAAGATGAATTTGCATTGCAGCCAACATCCCCTGGGGATCTGCTAGGGAAGGGATGAAGTTCCAAAGGAAATGGTTATAACAGATTGAAATTACCCCCTCCCTTCTCCCCCCACCCTCACCCCACACAGCCTGCTACTCTCCGTGGACAATTAGATCCCTCCTTGAGGATGGAGCCTCAACCAGATGACTTCAGAGTTTAGCTCTCTACCTCCTCTACCACACAAACATACAAGTGTGTATATCAGTTCAACTGCTGAAATCTGAGCAAGAGGTCAGGGACAGTTGTGACTTGGGCTAACACTCTGTCAGTGGAAATGGGTATTCTGAGCATAGGGGGAGGAGTGACAGAGCTAGCTGCCTGCTAGGTGGTCAGCCAATGCCGCCTCCTTGAGGGAACTATTTCTTTTCAGAATTTCACCCCATCCCTATCAAAGAAGCGGAGTGACATGGTCAGACCTGCCTTTTAAGAAAATCATTTGTTGTTGTGGATGTTTGTCCTTCATTCTCAATCATCAGGAAGGTGATACCATAACTTGCAAGTGAATTGGATTTAAGTGTGGGAGGCTGTGCAAAGTCACCAGCCTCACTTTCTCCTCCGTAGACATCTGGGTCCAGTGGCAATATATAAATCAGGGTGACTGGAGATGGCCCTGGATGCAGTAGCAGACCTTGGCCTTTTTAAGCTAAGGTCTCCCAGGTCTCAGTTTGACCAAGGCAATGCCCATTCATTGATTAAGGCTAGATAAGAAATGAACAAGAAAAGCATTTAGCAGCTGCTTGGAGGAAGGATTAGAAAAGGGAGAGACTGGAAGAAGGGAGACCAATTTGAAGGCTATTGTAGCAACCTAGGGGAGAGATGATGAGAGCCTGAACTTAATAGGTAGCTTTAAGAACAGAGCAAAGGGGACTGATATCAAGGATGTAGAGGCAGAAACCACAAGATTCAGCAATTGATTGAATATACAGGTTGGGGAAAGTGAAGAGCCAAAGATGAAACAGGTTGTCGAAATCTGGGCGAATGGAAGGATGGTCATGACTTTAATAGTATTACAGAATTTCGGTACAGAAGTGTGTTTTAAAGGAAAAATAATGAATGCAATGAGATCTGCAATGCAGATTCCATCCATGTTTGCCCATTCTGTGTAACTCATGGTGTCCCAGCCAAAATGAAAAGGGAAGAGGCAGAGTTCTTAATCACTGGTCACTAAACCTAAGCACAGAGCCCACCTTGGATACATTCCATGGTCTGGAAGTGAAGAGGACAGAATTTTTCCAATGCCACCTCCGAAACAGCTTCTGGAGTAGCCTAGCTACTCTGAGAGACCCACAATTGGCACATATACGTTGAGTCCTTGTTGACAGAGATTGAGTGCTTCCATAGTAGAGAGGGAGATAGAGTAGGGAGGGCTGGGCAGTAAGAGTAGGTATGGTTGTGTGGGAGATAAGCCCCATAATATAGATCTTCCCATCTTCTGATTGGTTTATCACATATCCCTTGGAGTTTGTCCCTAACTCCTGGGGTAAGGCCATGGTCCCTGAGGGGCTCTGACCCCATTTTGGAGACCACTGTTCTAAAAAGCATACAGACCTAGTTTATTTTGTTTCACCTGTCTCACTCTGGAAATTACTTGAATTTTCACGAGGTGGAAGTAGTATTTATAGTTGAGAAACACATACACAAAGCAAGCAGTTTGTTTAGCCAGAGTCATGGTTGCCTGCTGAGCAGAGTTGCAATCTGAGATCATCAAGGCACTGGATATAAAAAGAAACAACCTCCCCTCAGCTCTTAAATCCTCTAAACTTGCAACCCTGTTTATATTCACAGCACTTCTAACTTCTTTTGGCGTGCTGGTCTGACAATGTCATAGTTTCAAGATTAAAACCAAAATTCTAAATTATTTTAAATGGGAAATGAAAAATGTATACTAGGGGTCTGTAATTCAAGCCTTTCTGCAAGTTCATTAAGCAAAATTATTACAATGATATTTGTTTAGACTTGAATTATTCAAGTATTTGAAATTATAAGAACTAGGCTTTAAGTTTTTGCTCCTTTCTATGACATATAAACAATTATATGACACAGTAGTGACATATTTTCAATTTATTTAAACTGTGAAGAAGAAATAATACCCAGGATTCACTATAATAGTCTGCTTCAAATATTTTTATAACAAGTGTGATTTATTTGCAATTTTGAACGTGTTTAATTCTTGAAAAATCAATGACAGAAATAAAACAAAAAATACAATAAGCTAATCACCCTAAATGTAGGAAATTCTTCATCAGCAAGCCTTTTTCTCAAAGTTTCCTTTCATATAGAGTTACCTAAGATTACGTATTGCACACATTTCTCCTCCTAAGTCTAGCAAAATAAAACAGAAATACGGCTCAAATGCAGAGCCCCTGAATGCCCGTTCACCCCTTTTCCTTACACAGCTGAGGCATGAACCTAATGCCCAAATCCAGTCTCCTCATACTCACTGCCTCTTAACTTCAAACTCCCTTATGTAAGTCAGAAAACATAAGATGAAAGACTCATAAATGCCATCAAACACTCACCGCTATAGATCCAGAAGATGTGGCAACAAAAACTTTGATAACCATTTTGACAGTCAAAAAGAAGAATCTCCTTCTAAAATACTCAGTGAAATAAAAGTTACTAGGCAAATAAGAAGTGAGCTGCTAGAAGCAGCAGCTGCTCCCTCCCTTTCCCCCGTAAGAAAATCTGTCTCTTACAAGTATAGGCATTTAGGGCTTTCCCCTTCATTGGCTAATAAGTCTTTTGGGAATTGTTTGAGCAAATATATGATTGGTTGGTAAATGTAGACATTGCATTAGACCCCATCCAAATCTCTTTAAGTTGACCAGGAATACTCCCTAAAAGGCAAGGGAAAGTTATACACCAATCAGAAAATACTATGCAAATACGGAGGGGAGGAGGACTTGACAAGGAGGGTTATTTTAGTGTTGAAAAGGCCCAGGAAGCTCTACCGTCATGAGGAAGGCTGTGCTTACTGGTAGTATTACTACTAGATTTAAGTTAAAGGATATGTATTTATCTTTGGATAAATAACTCGTATTTTAACTACAATTTTAAATAATACAATTTTAAATTCCCTGGCATGTAAAAAAAATACATCATACTAGAAAAGATTCTTTTGAATGCCCCTATTTTTTTTCTGTTTCCAGAGTCCAATAATTTTCCACCTTTGCATATATTTCTCCTATAATATGAAAACTAGCAAGCTTTATACTGCTATTTCATTTCATTGTTTTCAAAAGTAACTTTTTTAAAGACTCTTTCAAGAAAGGCTGTTGTCATTATATGGTCACTTAAAAGTATATTCAATCTGTATAACTTTTCAAACATTTGGGCATGATTCAAAATTTTAACTATAACACATTTCAAAGTTATCAGAAGTTCATAATACAGCCTCCATCTGAACTCTATTTTTATATAAATTTACCTTTAATTAAAAGGCAGGCTGAGTGCCTGCTCTAGAAAGCCAAACTTTCAGTTATTCAAATTTTTAGTCAAGTCCCAGAAAAGGGGATTATTAGGAAATTAGGGCACAGTCCTTACTCTTTCAGAAATACTTCGTGGGAAGCTTCAATACGTACCGACAACAAACAGGATCTCAGTTACGTGTCTCATGCGATCCCCAAATGATATGCACAGTGTTCGGATGTGATGCTTTTAACTGATGGTATCTACAAGTTCCCCCACCTTCAGCTCACCTTTAGTATAACCCTAGGTTATACTAGAGTTAGCCCCTATTGCTGAGGAAGGTTTATGTCCCAGGAAGCCAACAGTAAGAAAAAAGTCCCCATATATTAAAAAATATTTACAGCAGCACTTTCTGTGATAGTTAAGAATTAGAAACAAAGTAGATGCCCATCAACTGGAGAACAGTTAAACAAATTGTGAAACACGAATGTACTGTAAAATGTGGTACAGTAAAAATAAATAAATAAAAACGTGTTCCATTTTAGCCATCCAGATGAAGAGCCTCTCCAAATTTATCTAGACTGTTCTTTGGACAGTACAAACCCCAGTACATTATCAGGTAATTTCCAAGCCTTTCCAGCTTGGTAGGACCTATCAAGAGCTTATGTTCCACTGGTATAGCCATTAAGAATTCAGGATCACTTCCACACCAGATGAGGTATAAAAGGAGGACTTTAGTGAAGGAAAATATTTAAATGAGGCTTGAATTATGTTTGAGAACACTTCAGTACTCATTCAGCTAAGCAAAAGGGAAAATGATTAGTACACCACCACCATTAAAGAAAGTTAGACAAAAGTTGTGTGACAAATCATTGTGTTATGTTTACTGTTAATATCCTCAGCTTTGGATTCTTGGTTAAAAAAAATACTCCTTTTGTTTCCTTCCTCATCCTTTACTTTGATTATACATGAACAATGGCATTTTTTTTTAATTTTTGGTTATTCCCTGAACTCTTGAGCACTGTTAATCTGTTATAACACAAGCTCCAGAGTCACTCTCCCAACCCCAACTTGTACTCAGGATTTGGTTCCACACAAATCAGCTCCTACATATCCTTTCAGGCTTCCAAGGGTAACCCTAAGAGAATGGAGGGGTATTTGGTTCACTTATCCCATGATTATCAGTTGATAACGATTAGCCAGATTTAAATAGATTTTAGAAGCAAATATTCACTAAGGTATTATAGGAGAAACAGTTGTTACAAAACATCTCCCTGAAGTCTGTGGCATTCTCCCACAGAAGAATGTACAATGTCAATCAGTCAACTAGCATTTATTAAGTGCTAAAAGACCATCCCTGCTCTTGAGAAGCTCACAGTATATAGAGGGAAACAACAGAAAAAAAAAATTTTTACAAACAAGATACATACAGGATAAATTGGTGGTAATGTCACAGGGAAGAAAATATTAAGGAGCACTGCAACAGGCTTCTTGCAGAATGTGGGACTTTAGCTAAGATTTGAAAGAAACCACGGAAGCCAGGAGGCAGAGATGGGGAGGGAAAGAAGCATAAGGGACAGCCCATAAAAATTCCAGGAATCAGGAAATGGAGTGTCCTGTGTTAGGAATAGCAAGGAAGCCCAGATTGCAGAGTATGGGGAGGTAAGGTCTAAGGACACTGGAAAAGTAGGAAGAGCCCAAATTATGAAGGATTTTTAAAGTCAAAGGATTTTACTTTTGATCCTGGAGGTAACAAGGAGCCACTGGAGTCCAGAGGAAAGTGAATTCAAGCTTAGAAAACACATCTGGCAAAGGCGTAACTCAAAGTTTCAGGTTACTATAGTCCTTTACTTCCCTTTGTGGGGAACTCATGAAGTTCCCCTCAGGCATGTTACAGCTTTTCTGCTAGATTCATTGTAGAATTTTGAAGCAGTCTTACATTAGTATGTTTAGTTTGTCTTCAGCCTCTAATGTAGACACTGTTACTAGTTGTTGTTGCTGGGGGACACTGCTAGAATTACAGAAATGTCCAAATGCTCTAGTCATCTGAAGTTTATGATGCCCTTCTCTGAACAAAGAGAGAACAAGACCTGGCCTGAGGCTGTGGCTCTTCTCCTATCCTCCTCTTCCGTATCCCCAACACACACCAGACACTCAAATTACCACTGGGTGTGCCGATGTGGCCTTATTTCACTTTCAAAGATTTCTAAATTAACTAAGGACTTTTCTCACTTAGTCTAAAGTTTTTGATTAATTCAATTGAGGTGTTGTCACCACATCAAGGTATCAGGTACATTGTTAGTTAAAAAGGGTGAGGTGATTTGATTAAATTGTACCATGAAATTTCCCTTATTCATGAGAAACTTAGTTTTTACAAAATTACAAATTTTACAAAATTAACTTCGGAAAGTTATACATTTTACCAGATCTTGTGGTTTTTGTCTATGTGATTTATAAGTACTTACCTTCTTTGTTCATCTCTACAACTTATTAGAGTCTTTGAACGTTACTGGAAAACTTAAAATAATGTTTAACAAGCAGCTATTTGAGGAAAAAAAAGTATATGTAATCTAAACTCCCAAACCCACAGATATAGGACTATCTTCAGATTGGTGGAGATCAAATTAAATTTCACAGATTTAATTACCATCTTTATGCTGATGATTCTTCAATCTACCTTTCCTGCCCCTACTGCTCTGCTGATCTCCAACCCCTCATCTCTAAAAGCCTTTCAGACATCACAAACTGAATGTCTAGTAAATATCTTAAACTGGCTATGTCCAAAACAGAGCTCATTATCTTTCACCCTAAACTCTCCTGGATATTTCACTATCTCTCACCTCCCCCCACCATATCCAAGCTGTTGCCAATACTTGCCTATTTCACCTTTGCAACATCTGTTGCCCTCTTCTCTAAGGCTCTGGACACTGCCACCACTCTGTTACAGGCCCTCATCATCTCAGACCTGGATTACTGCAATGGCCTGCTGGGTTTGCCTGCCTCATGTCTCTCCCCACTCCAGTTCATTCTCTGTTCAGCCATTGAAGTGATTTTCCTAAAACACAAGTCTGATCATGTCACCTACCTCCCCCTCTCTCCCTTCAATAAACTCCAGTGGCTTCCTATTGCCTCTAGGAGCAAATATTTTTATTCAGCAGAAATGCTCAATTTGACATTCAAAGCCCTTCATAACCTAGTCCCCTTCTACCTTTCCAGTCTCCTTACACTTCAGTTCCTTGCCACATACAATGCAGTGGCAATGGAGTCCTGACTGTTTCACTAACAAAACACTCCATTTCTCTACTCTGGGCATTTTCTCTGCCTGTCCCCCACACCTGGAACACTTTTCCTCCTCAACTCTAACTACTGACCTGACTTCCTTTAAAGCCCGACTAAAATCCCACCTCTTACAAGAAGCCTTCCCCAACTCCTCTTAATTCCATTGCCTTCCCTCTATGTTTCCTATTTATTCTGTATATAGCTTGCTTGGTATATATTTGTTTGCATGTGGTCTCCCCCATTAGACTGCAAATTCCTTGAGGGCACTTTTTTGTCTACCCAGGACTCAGAACAGCATCGAGTGCTAAATAAATGGTTACTGAATTAAATCAATGGGACGGGACCAGAGTTGTTGAGAATATAAGAGAGGAGAGATCCAACTTCAGGCTATTCAGTCTCTTTGGGGCTTCCATCTTTTGAGAGAGAAGATGGACAACGGCCAACTCCACTTTAGATTAATGAAAGGATAAAAAGATTCTGGGGAGAAGCCGACTTACTTGCCTTTTACACATAACTAATATGTACATAATTCTTTGTGTCCCCCTTGAGGATGTGAGCTCCTTGAGGAATGGGGCCATGTCTTTTACTTTCCTTCTAGCTCCATAGCTATGTGCCTGACACAAGGTAAGTGACAACGTTTTTTGACTGACTCCTAGATTAAAATTCCGGGTGCATTCTTCCTCTGAAACCCCACAACCCTCCCAGACTTCCAATTACAGGCCTCTCATCTCTTTCCATGACCCCTTTGGGAATTTAGCAGCCATACCTTGTGATATTTGTGCACATGTCATTTCCCTTACTAGATGGTCATTTCTTTGAGGGCTGGTGCTAATACATTTTTGTGCCTTAAGGTAGAACAATCAAGTTAATATTTGTAATTATTAACACTATATACGATATGAAATTCCCAAATGCTAGGAAGACAGTCTGGGTCACTGTGCCTTAGGGTTCTGGGTTTCATTCCACACAGGGCTTCCTGCTCACTTAATGAAGGTCTCCGCGCGCCGAAGTGCTTTTCTCTCCGACCGGTGCCAGGTGCGTGCTAGCCCGGCCAGAGAAAGCACCTCAGCACGGAGAAAACCAGAGTGGCTTTGGGGAATTCACGTGCCTTCTGGATCTCAATTTTCTCAGCTGGAAAGGAGAGGGCCTAATTAGATGATGCCTAAAGTCCCCTGCCAGCTTTAAATCATTATCATCCTGACTCTAGAGAGGCTCAATCAGCATCCCGACGGTTGGGCGAAGCCGCAGGAGGCGCGGAGGGCGCCCCACCCAGATCTCGGGAGACCAGCCTGGCCGGGATGGAGCGGGCCCTTTAAGGCTGATGGGCTCGAGACGCCCGACCTAGGGGCGGTGGCACCGGGGCATCACAGAGAGCTGGTGTCCCGGAAGTCTTTCCTCCGGTTCCAGGAGGCCGCGCGCTCCGCAGTTTCTATGGTAACAGCAAACTGAAAATACAAGAGCTGCTGGAGCTCCGGGAAGAGCAGGTAACGCCTAAAAGATGCTTCGGGTCCGCGAGCGGAGGTCTGGGGCGAGGCCCCCGGAATGAGCCGCGCTGGCCCCGACTCGTTCCTCCCTCCTTGGACGCCCCCAGCCCTACTCCCAGTGGCCCCGGGGACACTGAGGCCGGAGATGAGGGGATAACCGCCCCTTCTCCTGCCCTTCCCCCCTCGGTCCCGCTGCCCGAGTTCACAGTCGCGACATCCTTTGTCCCGGCTCTTTTAAGGAGCACCTGCCGCGTCCCCTTCAAATTCATATTGTTTGAACACCCATTTCATTGCCACAGAGCTGTGCTTAAAAGCTTAGCAGAGCCAAACTTTTCAGCCAGGCATTCAGTGCCTGCCCTAGCCTACTACCGCGGTTGGAGCCCATCTGGACTGCTGGACACCCTCCTGAAATAGCAGGTGCGGTGGACATAGCACGAGGTCTGAGTCAGGAAGACCTCTGTTCCAATCCAATCTCAGGTGACCCCGGGCAAGTCGCTTAATCCCTGTTTGCCTGAGTTTCCTCATTAGTGACATGGAGATAATAATAGCACCTACCTGGCAGGGTTGTTGTGAGCCTTAAATTAGATAATATAAAGCTCCTGGCACATAGTAGGCGCTTATATACATTATCATATAACATTATCATACAACAAAATTTCTTATTTCAAAACTATGCCCCAGTGATTTCTTCTGCCTGGAATACACTCAGCTGTTCTCACCTGTCTCTCCCCAACACCACCGCATTTTTCTTTTTCTCCCACCTCCCTTTATTTTGCTGACTCAACTGAATTACCACCTTCAATGAATCACAGAATTATAGGATTTGGAATTGGAAAGAGCCTTAAAAATCATATAGCTCAACCCCACGTTTTAAAGTTGAAGAAACCAAGGCCCAGAGAGCCAAAATTATCAGCTCACGATTAAAATCCAGGTCCTACATTCCAGATCGCTTCAGTGAGGCCTTCTCAGCATTCCTATAGTAATTTTTTTCAGTGCATGCCTTGTATTATAGATGTTTAAATAGGCATCTTACTGCTTCTACTAGATTGTTAGCCCTAAAGGGCACGAACTATGTTGTAAAACTTTGTGTGTTTTTATTTTCCACGGAGGCACAGTGCCATGTACTAGTGCATAATAAAAATTTGTGTGGATGACAAAATGAATCTTTTTTCCCATCCCTACCCCACTTGCTTATTCATTGTCTTAATTTCTTTCTTTCCATCTTGAAATCTGATTCCTGAACATTTTCTTTTTTTAATTTCTCTTTGGTTATTTCTTGCCTTATACAATATTTCTGCTGAGAAATCATCAGTCTAATTCTTATTCCTTGAAATGGCCTGTTCTCTGCCCTCAGCCTAGCAGTTCCCTTTTCATCAGATCCTGATAATAATAGTAGCTCATATTTATGTTGTTTTTTGAAGTTTGCAAAGTATTTTGCATACATTATCTTCTTTGATATTTACAACAGCTCTGAGGAAACAGGCTCAGAAAAAGACTTGCCCAAAATCACACTGAAGTAGATAAGGCAGGATTCAAGCCCAAGTCATCCTGACACCAAGTTCTGCCTTCTATCCAACATACCACACTTCCTCTAGAACAATTAATATATGCTGTATGTGTAGTCTGTATTATGATACAATTACAATGCATTTCTCTTACACAGTTTTTGCCATCAAATGACTTTTGAGACCAGTTGCCATATTACCCCTACAAAAAGACCTCGTTTTTCTGGATTATCTGGAAGCCCTGATCATGTCATAATATTCACAGATGACATGAGAATCTGGCCAAAGTCTGAGATGCACTTTCTACAGCTGCGATGACAGGTAGCCTTAAAGATAATGTCTCTCTTGAATAATTCATGAGCCTAATTTGGAATTTATATTTAGAGTGGTAATTTATGAGGCTACTAATATTAGTGCTACTTAGCACACTGTCTAATAAATAGGCTTAATAAATGCTTGTTGACTTGCTGATTGATTTTTGTTCAGCTTTACATTCCTTCATTCAGTGGTCACTTTTCATTTAACATGGTGATACTGTTAATAAAAAACAGTGCAAGATTTGTGCTAATATGGAATGGCATCAATAAATTATTCTACTCACTAACATATATATAAGTAATTTTTATTGACTTCACAGGCCAATTCAAGGGGATATTTTTCCTGAATCATGTAGATTCCCTGACTTCACTGACAGATGTGTGTGTATACACACATAAAGACATATATATATATATATATATATATACACACACACATATATATACACACATACACACACACACATACATACATACATCTGTATGTATGTGTGTGTGTTTCAGTGCACCACTTTGACCATGTAGACAATAACTGAATAAGTGGAACAGCTAACATATTGTATGACAGAATCAGAAAAATCCCCACAGACTAGAATGATGAGTCAAATCTAATAGGATGAGATTTAATAGGGATAAATGTAAACTTTCTAACCAGTACAGGATGGGGGAGATATGTCTAGATGAGTTTATATGAAAAATATCTTGGCACTTAAATGTATGATAAGCTCAATTTAATTCAACAGTATGGCAAGACAGTCAAAAATACCCACAAAAAAACATTCAGTCTTAGTCAAAATTAAGAGATGAATAAGTATCAAGAGGGAGGAGATAATTCTGCTGTACCCTTCCCTAGTCAGATCATTTCTGTAGAGTTTTGTTCGGTTCTGGGCACCATATTTTAAGAAGGACATTTTCAGGTTGGATATCATGTTGTATGAAGATCAGTTGAAAAAATTAGGGAAATATAGCTTTGAAAAGAGAAGAGAGAAGGGTAGATGTATAAATTAGGGCCTCTCACTGTAACAATTGCAGTGAGGGCTCTGAGTTCAAAGTATTAAAAAATAGGGAGTTAATTACCCATTTTGGTTCCATCAATCAACAGCAGATGCCTTTCCAAATGAGTGATTATATAGTAACCCTACATCCATATCATGGAGGGAAAAAGGAAATGTACAAGGGGAAGGGAATAAGCATTTATATAGTACCTATAACATGCCAGCACTTTACAAATATTATCTCATTTGATTCTTACCACAACTATAACATGTAGGTGCTTTTATTATCCTCATTTTAAAAATGAGGAAACTGAGGCAAATAGGTTAAGTGATTTGCCCAGGGTCATATAACTAGTAAGTGTCTCAAGCTGGATTTGAGCTCATATCTGTCTAGACAGGAAGGTCTAGCCCTCTATCCATTATACTATCTCCCTTGAATGGGGACTGACTGTTCTTTTGGCCCCTAAATGCAGAACTTAGAGCAATGGGTAGAATTGCAGAGAAGCAGTGCTAGTTACAATATAAGAAAAAAAACTTACATAGTTTAAAAAAAATAGGGAAAAGAATATTTAAAATTAGTAGTGGGTTCTCTCTCAAGATTTTCAAAGGCAGTGGATCAGCTATTGTTGGGGCTATTGTAAGTGAGATTCTTAGGTAGGAATTTTTGCAAAAGGCCTCTGAAGTCTCTTCCAAATCTGAGATTTAGAAACATTAATGTATGAACCCTGGGCAACTCACTGAACTTCTCCGTGTTGTAAGCGATTCTCTAAGACTACAAGTTGCAGAGAAGATGCTGAGCTGCATTGGTAGGAGTTTTTTCATCTGGGAGTTCCTTTATTCTAATGAAATCTCAGTCCTGTCCCTGTCCCTATAATTTTGTTGAGGGACTAGGCAACTTTTAAGGGAAGTCTACATAAGCGGTCCCAATGTGAAAGACTTATAGCTTTTAATGTTATCTTAAATATAAATATAAATAGATTAAGTATATAAATATCAATATCACTTCATTAGATTCAACAGATTCAATATAAATTAGATTAAAAATAGATTAAATATAAATATCACTTCAGATACTCTGTGGATCAGTACCCACTGTAGCTCACAAGACCTCTAAACTAAATAATAGCAATAGGACCTGAACTAAGGTGCTGGCCACATGAGTAAAGAGGAGGAGATAGATCCAAGAGGTGTTTTGGAGGTAGAAATGACTCGATTTAGGCAACTTATTAGATATGTGGGATGAGGAACATTAAGCAGTCAGGGATACTGCCAAGGTTATGAACCGGAGTGACAGGAAGAGTGGTGGCACCCTTTACAGAAATAGGGAAGTTCAGAAGAGATAAGAGTTTTAGGGGAAAATAATGAGTTTGGTTTTAGACATGTTCAGCTTGAGATGCCTCTCACATATACAGTTTGAAATGTGCTATTGGCAAATTGGAGATGTACAACTGGAACTCAAGAAGGAGAATGGGGCTGGATGTAAAGATCTGGCAGTCATCTGCATAGAGTTGATAGTTAAACACACAGATATTGATGAAGTCATCAAGTGATATAGGTTCAGAAAATAGGCTCGAATATATACCCATGGTTAGGGGACAGGATATGGGTTATGCCATTTAAAAAGGTTCAAGATACATAATTTCTGGGCAATTTAATCATTTTATTAAATGCCAGCATTTTAATAAAAGAATGGTCATTTGACCATCTTCCTCTTGGACCAAAGACAGTCATGATGGCAGACTCACAGCTTATATGTCCTTTTTGGAAGAGGGGTGTTCTGAGGAGGGCAATCAACTCTGATTGGTTAACAATTAATGAGAGAATAAATATTATAGTGAGGGACTGGACCTGAACTTTGATTATGTCATTTATTCCCCTGCCTTGGGCAGTCTATTGAAAGAATTTATCCCTACCCAAACTTGAGTGGAACACAATGGCTACCCCACCTAGGTGGGGTCTGGAAAGAGAAGAAGGTTAACTCAACCTTCAGAGACCAAGGTCTTAAAATGAGGATAAAAGAAAAAGGGAGAAAGCTTAACCTTCCCAAATCATTGACTATTACTAATCATTTTTCTCATTATGATGAACCAGTGAAGAGTCTTCTTCACTGAGGAGCAGTCTGACAAGGAGGAGAACCAGCAGTGAGGTATCATGAAAAAAGAAATAGTATCCCGTAAAAGATGGCAGTAAACAATGTCGACTTCTGCAGAGATGTCAAGAAGGATGAATATTTAGAAAAGTCTATCATATTTAGTTAATAGTATTGGCATCCTTAGAGCAATTTCATTTTTATTGATGAATTGGAAGCCTTAAGCCTACAAAGGCTTGAGAAGTGAGTGAGAAGAGAAGAAAAGGAGGTGTTAACTAGGGACAGCTTTTTTCTAGGAGTTTTGGCAATGAAAATGGAGAGAGATGCAGTACTGTAGCTTGAGAGGGACAGTAGGATTTGGTGACAATTTTTTTGCTTGTTTTTTTATAATTAGGGTGAGACTTGCATGTACTCATAGGCATCAAGGAAAGAAACTGTAAATAGGGAGTTTGAAGATTAGAAAGGGAGAGAAAGGGATAACTGTGGGTCAGTATGCTAGAGAATATAAGGGTATGAGATCGAGGGTACATGTAGAGAAGTTCGCCATCCTGAGAGGAAGAATCACTTCTTCATCAGAGAATGGAATAAACAAAGAAAGGAAGAAGCATGATGTCAAGGGATTTTGAGATAGAGAGAAGGTGGGGAGGAAAGGGAGCTCAAGGGAAATGGTCTCTATTTCCTCAGTAAAGTGTAAGATAAGGTCCTCAGTAAAGGAAATGGGGAGAAGGGTAGTATGGGAAGGTTGGGGAGAATAGAATAGCTTTGGAACAGACTCTGGAGAGTTGGATATAAAATCAATTAAAGAGGAGAAAAAAGATAGTAAGTAAGAGAAGTAGAATTCAAATAGTTCCTCTGACTCCAAAACCAGCTTTATGTCTAGGGCATCAATGGTTCTGGGTCATCTAGAAAGAGTAAAATTATATTTAGTGCACTCTTCCCGTTAAGGCAAAGAAATTCGTAATTTATGTCAGATAGATTTCCACTGAAATAACTGTAATTTTCAAGTTCTTGTGCTTAATGGTTTAAGTTTTAGTTATTAAAAAATTAATGTCATATGTTTTATCAAAATAATTGCTTTTGTTGAATAAAAATATCTGAAACATATGAGCTTCTTTTAGCTAAATAAAACACTTTAAACTTATTTGGTTGGGGATATGATGGTCATAATAATATGACAAAAGAATTTCCAAATAATTAATCTGCCAAATTGGAAGTGCTTTACTTCTTAATGACTTCACCAGTATCTTCTGCACTTAATTTGTAAAATAAAATAATTATTTGATTTTCAAATATGTTTTATTTTTTAATCAGCTTTTAAATATGTAACATTCTCCCAACTTGGGTACTTTCCCAATTTGACACTTGTATCTAAAGTTTGAAACCCTAGAAAGTGGCTGCTATTTCGGGTTTGGTAACTCAGTGGGGCTTTACTCTTACTACCCTAGCTCATAAACCTCTGTACTTCTCATTAACTATCAGCCAGTGGTTGCAACTAGCTCTCAACAAAGGCATTTACAAAACAACCCCTCACCCCTTTCCCCCCCCCAAAAAAGAAACAAACAAAAAAACCTATGGTGCACTCTCCTACAAAAAGTATCTGTGGGAAGATAAATCTATGGAAAAAAAGAAAGTTAAAGAACAGCTGATAGGCACATATGTAAAATAGTTGCCAAGGCAATTCACACCTTTGGAAATGCAGGCCCTGAAAGTTGTTTTCTTCATGCAATTCTCTCTGGGCCCAATGTTCAATTGTCAGGTCTAGCTCTCTTGAGTAAGCAGCTTTACTCTTTTCCCAGTTGTCAGGGCTCACGCTCTTTGAAGCTGCTTCCTCCCTTTCCATCTGTGTCATTCTGGGATGTGTGACTCTTTTCTCTGCTAGATGCAGGTAACCCACTGTGGAGGAGGAGGAAGGGGAAGAAACTCCCTTCAGCCAGACAAGAACAATTCCCTCTCAAAGGCTTTAGTCCTTCCTCCACTTTTCTAGATCAGACTGACAAACCTCAACTCCAGGGTTACTTTTTTATGTAGACTAAAGGACATGCCAGTTCTGTGGTGTCTCCTTCATCCAGAGTGCAAGATCATATAACCATTTCAAGTTGATTAAGGAATTTCTTCACACATTGCCATGGTGGTATAGGAAAACTCCTTAATACCTTCTTTACAAATTCATGTGTCCTCTAAAAATAAAACTTATATATAGCTCTGAATTCCCAATAAAGTTAAGGTTATATCAAACATATCAAAATAATATAATCAATTGAATATTCTAACTAGAATAAAATATGTTACATTATCCAATTTAAATAAAATCTACCTTATATAAGACCAATTTCTTTATGTGTATATATGTGTGTGTGTGTTTAATTTTTGTCATTTAAATTCAAATCATTGGAAATCTAATACACTGTCCCTAAATTCATTTATTCCCATTAGATAGGTGGTATACTAATTTTAAAGGCAGAAACTTTTAAAGTTTCTTTACATTCATTACCTTCTTTGAGCATCACAATAACTTTAAATGACTTACACAGCTCAGAACTATCAGAGATAGGATTCAAACCTAGGTCTCGCCTGATTCCAAGTTCAGTGTTCTTTTGATTACATCGAAATGCCTCCAGTTCATCAAAATGTGGAGCTATCCATTAACTATGTTATTACTAGAAATATTTAACATTTTAATGATTTCTTTTTGGCTTCCTGTACTTCACAGACTAAGAGTAGGTAATACAAACTTTTGTTTAATGCATATGTAAGGAAAGGTAAGTTCAAAATCATTTTAGGCTTTGGCTAGTCAGAAATATTCAATTGATTACACTATTCTGATTTGTTTGTTACAACTTTAACTTTGTTGAGAATTCAGAGCTAGATTTTAGTTTTATTTTTAGAAGATACATTATAAATTTGTGAAGAAGGCATTAAGGAGTTTTCCTACTCCACCATAACAATGTGTAAAAAAACTCCTTTGAGAGAATTATAGAGTCTTGTAGCTGTATTTATATATGAAAAACCAGAAATATGGCTAGACTGGTTGTAGAGGAAGGGAATTTGTTCCCTGAGCTTATTAAGTATTTATTAAGCACTTAACTTAATGCCTGGTCCTGGGCTATGCAAAGACAAAAGCAAAAGAGTCCCTGCCATCAAGGAGCTTACATTCTACTGGAGGAAATAACATGTGTACTTATAGTATATATGACATATACAGACCAAATACAAGTAACCTTAGAGTAGGTTCTTGGGAGAACCAGCAAAGAAATCCCTCAATAAATCATGCTTGAGCTGAGTGTCAAAAGAAAACAGGGATTCTAGGACACAGGTGAAGATGGAGAATTTTAAGCATGGGGGAAAGTCAGTGCAAAGACATGGAGATGGGAAAGGAAGCATCATGTATGAACAGGCTTGATTGACTAGACCATAGAAATCAGGGAAGGGAAAAGCAAGATAGGAAGGGGTCAGATTGTAAAGAGCTTTAAGTGCCAAACAGAGGAGTTTATATCTGATCCTAGAAGTAATAGGGAGGCACTGGGATTTATTGAGTAGAGGAATGTCATGTTTAAACATGTGTTTTGGGAAAATCGTTTTGACGACTGTGTGGAAGATGGATTGAGATGATGAGAAATGAGACAGGAAGACCAATGTAAGATTCCAGGCAATAAGTGATGAGGAAGCTAGGATGGTGGTTATGTGAGTGGAGAGAAGGGAACAAATAATAGAGATGTGAAAATAAAACTAATAAGGCTTGACAATGGATTTGGATATGTGAGATGAGTGAATTGGATACATGAGGAAGATACTCAGGTTGTAAAAGTAAGTGACTAGAACAATGGTACTCCCTCCAAAGTAAGAGGGAAGTATAAAAAATTGGTGAATATTGGGGGGAAAGATTGTTATTTACATGTTGCTATTTTAAATGCATATGGAATATACAATGTGAAATGTCCGGTTGATAGTTGGTGTTTTGGAGAGAGACCAAGGTTGAACAAGGTTAGATATGGGAGTCGTATATGTAGACATGATAATTGAACCCATGACCTCATCAAAGATAACTAAGTGTAGAGGGATAGTGTAGAGAGAAAAGAGAAGACAGAGCCTTGGGATGTAGCCATAGTTGGTAGGTGAGTCATAGACGATTCAGAAAACTGAAAAGTAGCCGTCATACTGGTAAGAATAAAAGATGTGAGAGCATCGCATGAAAACACAGAAAGTAGAGTATACAGGAAGAATAGGTGGTCAACAGTGTCAAATACTACAGAGAAATCAAAAAAGAAAAGAATAGAGTAAAGGCCATTAGATTTGGCAGTTAAGAGATCATTGCTAACTTTGAAATGAGCAGTTTTAACTGAGTAATGAGGTTCAAAGAGACTGTAGAGAAGTTAAAAAGAGAATGTGAGGAGAGAAAGTGGAGGTACTAAATGTAGATGACTTTCTCAAGGAGTTAGCCTGAGAAAGAGAATAGCATGATAGCTAGTGAAAACGGTAGTAATCTAGTGATTTTTTTTTTTTTATGTAGAAGGGACACTTGCCTATAGGCAACAGGGTTGGAATTTTTAGGTAGGGATGACTCTATGCCTTCCTCTTCCTCATGCTCATCTACATGAGCGAGTGGAAGGGATTTTTGGAACTGAGAACAAGGAAACCCTAGAACCTCATGGTTATTGATCAAGTTGATTCTACTATACTAACATACTAATTCTGCTATTGCCTAGCTTCTGGAGATTGAAATTGAGAGTCATAGGGAATTCTCATTATAAGTTAGAATGATGTCACCCAAGGATACCCATGTGATTAGGAAGTTCAGGCCAAAGAAAAGATAAAGACTTTGGTCTTTACCTAGATGGGAGAAACCCCACCTTAGCAATTTGCCCTAAAAATCTTGGCACCTGGGGCAAAGAATATCCTGCTAGGGGATAGAAAAGCTTTCTATGCAAGAAGCTGGAAAAGAAAAGAAAGGCCACTTCATAAAAGAAAAAAAGTTGTAAATATTTATTGTTTTTCCCCCTAGGGAGGGTAATGCTGGTCCTATGACTGAGGCAGGGGTGGCTGCTTCCCTTTTTTTTTTTTTTTTCTTTTTGCTTTTTGGTGAAGCAGTCAAGGTTAAGTGACTTGCCCATAGTCACACAGTTAGTAAATGTCAAGTGTCTGGGGCCAGGTTTGAACTCAGGCCCTCCTGACTCCAAGGCCTGAGCTCTATTCACTGTGCCACCTAGCTACCCCCATTGCTGCTTTTCTAAAAGAGCTATTTTTAAAAAGCCTCTAGCTTTCAACTAATGAAATATGGCACAGCCTCATCTCATGAGAAAGAAATGAAAAAAGCAAGAACTTTAGCTAAAATCAAATGCTGGAAGCTATTGCTATTGAGATTTTAACAAAAGGGTAAACTGAGGCAAATCTCCCACAAGATAACATTTATTAGCATGCTACCTGTCAATAAATGGATCCACGGCTTGACTCCATTAATGCCAAAGACCCAAACCAAGAGGACAGTTCCCTTTATGTAGGGTTTCGGAGAGTACAGAACAAAGAACGGCAGGGTAGAAGGGCAACATGATTGGTTACACAGCTGAGGTGCAGGGAACAACATGATTAGTTGGAAGTTTGGTAACTGGGGCTAGCAATAACCTGTCTTCTCTCAAGAGACTAAGAAGTGCTCTTTGTTTGAGCCGAAGTGCAAGATAGTGGCCCAGACTTTTGTTTAGCAAACCAGACATCCTTAAAGGATAGCTTGGGCATAAAGATATGAGACCCAAACTCCCTTTTGGTTCACACACATTCTTGTAGGTCAATTAAATTCCTTGAGGCAAGAAAGCTGGATTTTTAAACTTAACCCTGTTAGAGGCCAGCTGAGCTCTGAACAATGAGAAAGAAACAGAGAGAAAGAACCATAACTTAAGCAATTACAGGGCAAAACCAATTACTTGTAAATAGAATCAATAAGAAAATTATACAGGATCAATTTTAATCTCAAAGCAGGAAGAAGCTCCTTAGCCATTTGCCCAGCGAGGCTGTGACTTGCTTGTGGAGACTACACATCTAATGGCACACAGAAGCTATACATTCAGCATCCATCTGAGCAAGATATAGCAAAACAGAATTCAAGAAAGTCTCTGCATCTGATGGGGACCAGTAAGGAGGAGGACCCAGCAAAAACAGCATGACAATATTTCTAGAAGACATCAATTGCCCTTTAGCATCAGAGGAAGAAGCTGCTCCTCCATTCCATTTTTATGTCCTTGTCACACATGTTTCCTGTGTGTGTGCCACCCCACACACGCACCCTGACCACATTATAGGCCCTCTACCAGTACATCCTGGCTATACATATTCCCTACATGTAGGTCTCCCTATGTGTTCTCTATGTGTGTGCCTCTTCACATGTGCTAATAACATGTCTTCTCTTCTCCTTCTAATGGTGTGTGTATTTGTAGAAGAGTTTGCCCCAAGTTTATGGGGAAAGTTTTATTTCTACTTTTTTTATAATGCCAGATTGCCTTTGCTTCAATCTAATTACGTTCTCAGACTATTAAAGGTAAACATATTAGTGGGGGCTTATGAGCTATGGTTTTAGTATATGGAAAATCATAAAGTAGCCTTGAACCTGAGGTAGTTCTATCAGGGAGATCTGCCCAGCAAGTGGGAGTTAGTGGGGTGAGTTTCTCCTAGGCACTGTACATGATATAAATTATCCATTTTCCACATTTTCTTACCTAACTGCCTTTATTGTTTTTGTTATTGTTGTTGTTTTTCCAGATTGCTTCTATGTTCACTTGGTGTGTAGAATTCACATTCATTGTAGTAAGCCTAAAACAAACGAAAGGGAGACCAATTTTCTAAACATATATACTTGGTGAAGCAAAAGCCATTAAGTTGCAATACAAGATAATATAATCATCTACAGGTGAAAGTCTATTTTTGACTATAGTTTAAAATAAATATATTACTTAGTTTGGGGCAAAACCAAATAGAAATGGCTTTGGTGTTATGTACTCTTTTGTATCTTCTGTCATCATCTTTCCTTTTTATTAATTAGATAATTAAATGCTGAATGTACACTAAAGCCAACCTATAATTCTTTCTTTGAGGTCTTGCTGTACTCCTTATAAGGTTCTTATGATACTATTAGAAATTAAACACCCTTGTATAGTGTAAATGAATTTATATCATATCAGATTTTATTTAATTGCAGATTGGTTATAGTAATGTTCCAGTGTATGGATCGAAACGATTCAGTGTGACCTGAAACCTTGGAAATCACACCTTGGAAATTGGCAAAAGCTACAATCAGGCTTGATTTATTGTTTTGTCAGTTGTCTATATTTAAGAAAATGTTAACAATATAGATTAAAAGCATATTGTATGTAGACTTTTTTTTTTGGAGAGCCAGTTATTAAACATTTTAAAGTTGGATTTAGAAGTGGTAGAGAACTTATAGGTCATCTTACCTAACCCCATCATTTTGCAGATGAGAAAACTGAGGCCCAGAGAGGCTAGTGACTTTTCCAAAGTCAAAGAGGTAGTAAGTTGAAGATCTAGGATTCAATCTCATATTCAATTATTATAAATCCAGTGTACTCCACTCTGCTTTGCCTCATGTCATGGCTAAATATTATTCACTGACTATTTTCTGTAATAAGAATAAATAATTAGAATATTCATTGTGTACATTTATCCTTTTGTTATTAAAACTTACGAAGTTATTTTACCTTGACATCATAATCAGTATGTGAATGTATTTTTACAACTCCAGAAGTATGTCTGAACTTCATGTTTTTACCAAGGAGTTATGCTCCACAAACATTTTGATTTTATTATTTCTCTAAATCAGACAGAAAATTTACTTTACTTATATATTTACCCATGAAAATAGAACAGTGTTCACATGAAGGCTTCTAAAAACCTTACATTTTATGAATGGTGATAGAATAACAAAAACAAATTTTAATCTTTTCTAAGAAGGTATGATAAAATAGGTTGTTGCATGTTGTCCCTTTCCCTCCAGATAGTCTAATCATTATGGGGGAAGCAATTGTTTTTAAAAAGGTAAAGATATAGCAAAGCATAGATTTTGGTTTTTGTCTAAAATTGACCAACTATGTTTACTTCTACTAGGTTATTTACTATGGCATTGATTGATGCAACAAAAACAAATGTAGATGACCATTTCCTTCATGCAGTATTGGAAGACAGTAATAAGCCTGCAGAATTCAGTAGAAGTCTAGGCACTGGTGATTTTTCCAGGATCAGTAACAACAGCATTGGAAGTATTGATTATAGCAGAACTCAAGGTTCAAGTAGAAACTTTAGTTCTCATTGTGATTATTCAGAAGATTTTATCTCTGAATATTCTGGAACAGCTGGTAACAGCAATTGTTTAGAGCTGTTTGAGACAAAAGTAAAGAAGGAAGAGAAGATAAAGAAAAATGTTTGTAAAGTCTCCCAACCTAAAGGTAAGAAGATTAGACTGATAGACTACATTTAATAAAAGTAAACTATATTTGTGACCATTATAGCATATTTAATGCTTTTATATTTGTTTTTGTGATAATAATAAAACAACAATAATAATAGCTAACATGTATATAGCACCTACTGTGTGCTGGATAGTTACTTTGATTCATTTTTTCATATTGTAGTGAGAACATATGATATGTAACACTGTATTATAGGACAGCATTGCCCCTCCCCACCCCTACACACACACACACACACAAAACACACATATACCAGCTGCCTTTTTTTAGGAGCTAGGGAATAAAATGGTTGGCTATGTAGTACAACTGATAGCAGAAAGTCATATTTAATGCTTGCATATTTTTGTGTTTTGTACTCTATGTATTTTTTCATACTTTAACAGTATTATAGGACAGCATTATTATGTATTTTCCTCAACCAGCCCTCCCACTCAAACTTTTTAGGAGCTAGGGAATAAAGTGGCTGACCTCTTCAATGATAGCAGAATGTGTTAGAATTAAAAAGTTAAATCCTTAGTCCCATTGCTTTATCCTACTGAATCTATTAGTGAGGTCAGCCCATTTAACAGATGACCTTGTTGCATACTTTTATAGTACTCGTAATTCACTGGCACCTTTTTTGCCCTTTTAGCTGAAGAGACTGTAAGGGGGCAGCATCTCCTGCCCTAATTATTCCTACACCAACCCCATGCCAAGTGAGGTATTATATAAAAACAGAACAAAGAAGGCATAGTGCCAGGATGCCCCAAGGTCACATGCAAGTTTTCCCATGGGATGGTTGGAGCTTCTTTTGCTGTTTAGATTTACTTGAGGTAGTTTACATTTTTCTGTGGAGTTGTGGGTCATGTTCCCATTCTGGCCTATCCCCATACAGAGTCAAATATTGAACTCTCACCAAAACTTAAATACCCCATTCAGATTATATTAAAGTTTGACAAAGTATACATGTTGCTAAAAACTGAAGTTTTGAAACTCATGTAACCAAAACCTGTTAGAGGCGCTTTATGGATGAAAAAGATTGAGAAATAAATACATTCAATTTTATTATCAATTGGGAAGTTATCCTTTTCCTACAGAAAGCTATCCTTTCTCTCATTATTAATGATAGCGATACTGAATGAGTAAAAAAAAACTGTAGTAATAATTTCTGACTTCTTAATGTCTCTACAAATGTCTTACCTTGATTCACCTCCCCTCCAGGGCCACCAGAACTACCCTATCCTCAACCACTGTTGGATCTCTATTTCTCTTTTCATTGTGCTGGGAACATATCAGGTTTATTCTTCCTTCATACTATTGCAATATCTTCCTGGTTGGTCTCCTTGCCTCAAAACTACCTACTCCATTCCAACCTCCACTCAGCTACCAAAGTGATCTTTTTAACATGAAAGTCTAACCATATCACAAATATCCCAACACCATTCAGTAAACTCCAGTGGTTCCCTAAGACCTTTAGGAGCAAATATAAAATCCTTTGGCTTTTAAAGCCCTTTATAAGCCAGCCCCTTCCTACCTTTCCAGTCTTCTAATACCTTACTCCCCCCATATATTCAACAATTCAGTAACACTGATCTTCTATCTGTTCCTTAAATAAGACATTCCATCTCTTGACTCCATGCATTTTCATTAGCTGTTCCCTATGCTTTTTGTCTCTTATCTTCTTGCTTCCCTGGCTTCTTTCATGTCTCAACCAACCTACAAGAATCCTTTCTTGTTCTTCTTTAATCTCAGTGCTTTCCTTCTAAGATTATCTCTAGTTTATGCTGAATATTTCTTGTTTGTCCAAGTTGTTTGCATGTCATCTCCTCTATAACACTGTGAGCTCCTTGAGAGCAGGGATTGTTTTGTTTTATTTTGTTTGTTTTTTTTTTCCTTCTTTTGTATACTCAGCACTTAGCACATGGTAGGCACTTCATAAATGCTTGTTGATGTGCGGTCAGGGAGACAGAAGTGAAAGGAGAGAAGGAAGGAAGGAAAGAAGCAAATGAAGGAGGGAGGGAGAGAGGGAAGAAAGGGGAAAAGGGAGGAAAAGAAAGAGTAAAAGGTTATTTGGAATTTGGAACCTATTTTCCCATAAATAGTACTGGCAGACAGATTTGTTCCATTAGTCCTCTTTTCCTTCAGCTTCTTTTCTGTTGTTTTTATATTCTGAGAAATTATTTATTTGTAAGGAGTTAATTGGGAAACCTGATCAACTTGATGTGTTTCTAAGGAGTTGAGCCTCCGTTTGTACTTTGATTATGTCTTTGTCCTAAGGTTGTGGAGACGCCTGTTGGCACCTGGTTAAAAAAAGAAAGACAATATCTCTTTAGATCTCAGCAATTGAGAATGAATTCATCGACTCTGGCCGGTGTGGATTAGAACCACCCTTTGTTGTGGAGTAGGTATTTTGCTTTTTGAAAAATAGCTTTTATCAGAGGACAGAGCCAAGACAGTGGGAAAAAGGCAGGGACTCACCTGAACTCTCCCAAATTCCCCTCCAAACAACTTTAATACTTCAAAATGAATTCTAGAGTGGCAGAACCCATAAAAGGATGCAGTGAAACAATCTACCCGCACAAGACAACCTAGAAGGTCAGCAGGAAAGGTCTGTAGCACTGAGGTGAGAGTAGAGTACAGTCCAGTGCAGACAATACAGCAGCAGGCCTTAGCAAGCCAGCTGCAGGCCTTGGGGGCAACTGAACTGGCAGCAGTGGATTAGAGAGCTTTCAGCCCACAGAGAGTAAAGGTGTCAGACATCTGGTCAAGAAGGAGATTACAGGGGTCCCTTTGCTGGCACTGGTTTCAGGACTCTGTTGCATTGTCCATACACAGATCTGGGTCGCAGTCCCAGGGTGAGGAAAAGCACTAGCCCACCAGAGCTTATGGCTGCAGGGGAACAGGGACCCTGTGGTTGCTTACAGACCTGAGCACAGGCCAGGAAAGTAATAAACACATCTTTCCTTCAATTATACCACCCAGGAAGAATTGAAAATTTACAGACACCAAGCACTAGGTCTAAAAACAACAGAACAAAAAACCTGAAGCTTGGGACAGTGCTCCTTCCATCCCAGGAGCAGAGCCCCACTTTAACATAAATTTAAAAGTTAAGAAATAGACTGGAAAATGAGCAAACAACAACAACAAAAAAAAACCTGACCATAGAACGTTACTATGGTAACAAGGAAGTTCAAAACACAAACTCAGAAGAAGACAATAAAGTCCAAACTGCTATATACAAAGCCTCAAAGAAAAAAATGTGAATTGGTCTCAAGCCTAAAAAAAGAATTCCTGGGAGAGCTTAAAAGGGAGTTTAAAAATCAAATAAGAGAGGTAGAGGAAAAATTCAGGGGTAAAAAATGACAGATGCAAGGAAATCATGAAAAATATAGTCAAGAACTTGGTAAAGCGGGCACAAAAAAAAATACAGAAGAAAATAACACCTTAAAAAACAGAATGGGTCAAATGGTAAAAGGGCACAAAAATCCACTAAAGATAAGAACTCCTTAAAAAGCAGAATTGGCCACGTGTAAAAGCAGGTACAAAAGCTCACTGAAGAAAATAATTCCATAAAAATTAGAATTGGGCAAGTAGAAATGAATAATTCCATAAGACATGAAGAAGTAACAAAATCAAAAAATGAAAAAATAGAAGAAAATGTGAAATATCTCAAAGCAAAAACAACTGACCTGAAAAATAGTTCCAGGAGAGTTGATTTAGGAATTATTGGACTACCTAAAAGCCATGATTAAAAAAAAAGAGCCTAGACATCATCTTTCAATAAGTTATCAAGGAAAACTGCCCTGATATTCTAGAACCTGGGAGTAAAATAGAAATTGAAACAATCCACCAGTCACCTCCTAAAAGAGATCTCAAAATGAAAACTCCCAGGAATGTTATAGCCAAATTCCAGAACTCTGAGGTCATGGAGAATATATTGCAAGCAGCCAGAAAGAACCAGTTCAAATACTGTGGAGCTACAGTCAGATGAACACAAAATTTAGCAGCTTCTCCATTAAAGAATTAGGGAACTTGGAATATGACATTTCCAGAAGGCAAAGCAGCTAGCTAGGATTACAACCAAGAATCACCTAGTGAGATTGAGTATAGAAATCCAGGGGAAAAAATGAACATTCAATGAAATGGAGGACTTTCAAGCATTACTGATGAGAAGACCAGAGCTGAACAGAAAATTTGACTTTCAAATTCAAGACTTAAGAGAAGTATAAAAAAGTAATTAGGAAAGAGAAATCACAAGGGATTCAATAAGGTTAAACTGCTTACATTCCTACATGAGAAGATGATATTTATAACTCCTAAGAACTTTCTCATGATTCAGGCAGCTGGAAGAAGTATACATAGATAGAGGACATGAGTGGAAGTTGACTATTATGGGATGATATCTAAAAAAAATAAAATTAAGGGGTAAGAAAGAGGAATGCACTTGGAAAAGGTGAAAGGGAGAGATAGAATAAGGTAGATTAGCTCACATAAAAGAGCTTTTATAGTGGAGGGGAAAATAGGAGAGGTGGACAGGAGAGCACTTGAACCTTACTCTCATTGGAATTGGCTCAAAGAGGGAGTGACATACACACTCAGCTGGGTATAGAAATCTATCTTACCCTACAGGCAAGTAGGAGAGAGAGGGAGGACTATTAGAAGGGAAGGCAGATTGGAGGAGGTGGTAGTGAAAAGCAAAATGCATTTGAGGATGGACAGGGTTAAAGGAGAAAGAGAGAGTAGGATAAATGGGGGGAAATACACAGTAATCATAAATGTGAAAAGATATTTATAGCAAGTTTCTCTTGATAAAGGCTTATTTCTCAAATATATAGAGAACTTAGTCAAATTTATAAGAATACAAGTCATTCTCCAGTTGATAAATGGTCAAAGGATATGGGGTGAAGTGGCTCACTAGAATGCTGGGAGAATTTTTCTAGCAAACTCATTTGTTTCCCCTCTGAGAGAAGTACAAGTCACATGGTGACATTGGGACT